CCAGCCCTTACCTGGAGATTGGCAACGATGGTTCCCCAGAAGGGACTAGTTGGTTTGGAGGGTGGAGTCTATGGCTTTGTACCTGTCTGAGGTCCCACGCCTCCTGAAACCTCACCCTCTCCAGGCTCCATCCCTCACATCTCCAGGAATTTCCCACCTGGAGTTGGCAACCCTATCTCCTTCCCAGCCAATCATCAACCTACCTTTATTTCCCCCTCATTCTTCAGCTTTCCACCTCCAACACCGCTGCAGCCTCTCCCGTGCTCTGAAGCCCTGACTGCTACGTCACATTGGTTGTCATACGGGGGCCACCTCAGCAGCATATAAGGATACAGAGCCTACCATTTTCTCCAGGGGAACTGATCTCTGCCATCTGGAAAGCAGTTGTAATTCTGAGTGATCTCCAGCCCTCACCTGGAGATTGGACACATTTTACCTCAGAACAGCAAAACTGTTTAGAATGTTAGAGGCAAAAGCCAATCAAGTTGCATATGCAAACGACCTCTGTGTTCCGAGGCAAAGGCCAATGAGGATGCATATGCAAATAACCTCTGTGTTCTGACTGGCTATGGGGGGGAGAGGAAGACCAAACTGTTTAGAATGTTGGAGGCAGGACTCAAGCAAAGCAGCCAGTGGATAGGCACAGATTCTGAGTGACACACCAGGGCACCAACCAATTCCGGAGCGTGTGGAATGTTCTAGAGAATTGCCACCACCATTTGGCTTTTATATATAAGGGAGATTACTATGGACATTTTTACATGGCATGAAATTATCACAACTAGCTTATTAAAATATAGTGTATCCAAACAATTATTACAAGCAGAATACCCCCACCCACATGCAAAAACACATAACTGAAACCTTTTTCTTTTCTTGTGACAACAGCACCTCCTAAAGGAAGAAATGCATCTTGTTCTTGCATTGGAGAGTTCAGTTTGTAACCTAGGACCTGCTTGTCCTCAGTGCACAGAAATTAGATCAATCTGATACCATACATATTTTTTAGAAATGATTTGGAAAATATTCGAACACCTGGTCTTAAAACATTTTATTCATCGTGTTAAAACGTTCCATGTTCGTTTTTTTTCTTTTTCCAATTTTTTGGAAAAAAACAAGGCTTCAGGGGGAAAAAGGTTTCCCCCCAAATTTTTCCCCGGGCCATCACATCTCTAGTCCAGCTGCTGCTTCAAGACTGCCAGGGAGAGGGAGCTCACCACCTCCCGAGGCAGCTGATTCCACTGTTGCACAACTCTGACTGTCAAAAAGTTTCTCCTAAGATCCAGACAGTATCTTCCTGCCCTTCAAGTACTTCAAGAGAGTCATTCTGTCCCACCTCAACCTCCTCTTCTCCAGACGGAGCCTTCCCAAGAAGTCCCTCGGCCTTTCCTCATAAGGCTTCTAGGTCTCCAGGCCCCCGATCATCCTCGTCGCTCTCCTCTGCACCCGCTCCGTTCTCTCCACATCCTTTTGGAAGTGAGGCCTCCAGAACTGCACACAAGACTCCTGGTGCGGACTGACCAATGCAGTGTACAGCAGGACTATGACACCTTGCAATTTGGATGTTACGCCTCTGTTGATACACCCCAAGCTCGCATCAGCCTTGTTAATACACCCCAAGATGACATTAACTTGTTGCCAGTTACACGGTTGGACACGTGGCTTCTCGAATGAGTTCTGGGGTGAGTCCCTGACTAAGGAACCAGGCAGGTGGCTAGTGGTTGGAAAGGGGAGAGATGAGGTTGCCAACTGAGAGAGAGCCGCCAGTCCCCAGCGAAGACCAGGGCTTTTTCGGCCCTGGCCCCTACTCGGTGGAACTCTTTGCTGGATTTGTTACCTTTCTGCAGGGCATGTTAAGGCAGAGGTGTTCTGGCAGGTGTTCGGTTGAGGACAGTGACGGTCAGGGGTCATTTCGTAGAAAAAGAGATGCAGGAGCTCATTAGCATAACTTATCAGCATAACTTGTTTGCATATGCCACACCCTCTGACATTACATGTGTCAGAAGGCAACACCCACCGCTCAGGCTCCACTGGACTGTTTT